CTCTGGTGGTCCCTCCCTCCTTTTGCATATTCTATCATTGCAACTTGGAGGATGCTGGGCTCTGCAATACACCAGCCCACACCCCAAGGCTGGCTCTGCCTCCTCTGCCGAGGAGACAGGCCAGCACGGATGGGGTTCCGTCATGATGATTGGCGACATTGTGATGATGGTGTGAAGGGCCACAGAAGAAACCAGGACAGCCTCTCATCCATGCTTTTGTGTTAGGGCACACGGGCCACCAGCTGCATGACACTCTCTCTGGTCGGCGAGTCTGCTGAGGTGGGGCCACAGACAAGCATCTTCCTAGAGCCACGGGACACATCAACCAGGACGTTCCTGTCCCTGTGGCATGCTAGGAGTCGGATGGGTGCTGAGTGTCCTTGCCTCCAGCTGCTCCCCTGCAGAACCACAGCATGCTCACAGGGTCCTACAACTGAGATGCCCTGAGTAGAGGTGGAGGGGAGGGTGGAGCCAGTTCTCCTTGTGTCCAGGGGGACACTGTTTCCCACATCTCCCCAGCTTGGAAACTCTGTTCTTGGCAAAGTGGAAGGAATAAATTCTCCTCCCACCACGAGCCAAGAGGGCTAGCGCTGGTGTGTTGCTGATTGAGTTTGAGGGCCCCTTGACTGTGGCCTGAACAACCTTTTGCCCATTCTCGCCCAGCCCGGCCTCTTTGGCCTCTCAGGACCCCGGGGAAGAGGCAAGCCCCATCATCATGAAATAACAGGATGTTCAAGTCAGCTGGAAGGGACTAGAGAGGGGTCTTGCCCACCTATCATTTTAGCGATGAAGATACACAGTTTACCTGTGAGAATCTTTAATCCCCTACTCACCACAAGTGTTTTCATATAAAAATGAGGTGCCCGGACTCATATCTTGATAAATGGTAAAATTCCTCTCCCATCCCCATTCTGATCTTGAGCTCCCTTCCCATCTCCATTGAAAATGGCATGTGAACTGTTTGTTCCAAACCCGGAGGAGCAAAGGTAATTTATGTCTGCAGAGCTGTGTCAAAATTCCTCTGATCGAAAGGTGACAGCACTCCCCACCTGGGCGGGCAGTTACAATGTATGGAAGCAATGCTCTATCTGGTGTCATGGGTTGGGTAGCCTGGACTCCAGGCAAGTCCCAGAGGGGTGAACTGAACCCCTTCTCTTAGGCTGCCTGATGCCTCTGTGCACGCTTTTTGGGACTTGGGCAGACCTTGAACTCGGGAGTCATTATTAATGCCAGTCTCCAGCCAACAGTCAGACCCAGCCCAGTCAGACTGTATCATGTCACATGGAGGGAAGTGAGCTGGACTGCGGCAGTAGCGGAGAGATGCTGTTCTCAAAAATCTTTACCATTCCCTCTAGGTTGATCTCTGTTTACCGCCAGGGGGCACAGTTGCAGAAATGGCATCCTAGACTCCCAGGGCCTGGGGAGTAAGTGCTTCCGAATTGGTCCTAACAGCCACACTGCCCTCTCATAATTGGCTGGATGGACAGTGAAGTCCCTCCCCTGTCCGTGCTACTCTGGCTTCATTTGGGGACACCCCCACAAACACTTGCACCCTTTAACCAACAGTGTCCTGGGAATGGCACGTTGTCCAACTGTCTGGGGACTGACCAGAGCGCAAAGCTGCCCCAGCGGGGAGCTGAATTTCTTGCCAGCCTGGGCCCTTGTCTGATACCAGGAGTGGGAGGGTTATCCCCTGCCCTGGGAGGGGATGGGGCCGCATCCAGCTGCCCAGCTGTCCTGGTGCTGACATGAAGTGCACCCCAGAGCTGCTCGGGTTTCCCCCCGGGGCCTGCCCCAGCGGCTGAGCCAGCATCCCAAACATCCTCAGGCTAAATAAGGAGCCTGCTTAGGTCAGGGGGTGGGGCTGGGGTCCCCGGGGGGCTTGGGGCAATCAGGCCAAACAAGGCAAGGAGCAGAGCGATGTATAAAACCAGGGCCCTGGGCTGAGCACCTGCCCCTGCCCCTACTGTGCCTTCCGGAAGGGCTCTGTCCCACCTGCTACCCAGCTAGTGGACTCAAGCCGCGAGGTCGACCCGCCCACGGTGAGTCCCTATTCTCAGACCAGCCCCAGACACTCCCATCCCCAGGATGTTCTGAACTGACTGGGGAGAAAGGCTGAAAGTCAAAGTCTCTATGTCAGCCTAGACCTCATGTTTGTTTTGCACTCCCCAGATGTCCAAGGCAACTTCCGCCAAAAAAACAGCGGCTGCGGCCCCACCTCCGGGATGTACCCTGGATATCAACGACCCCCAGGTCCAGAGCGCGGCAATTCGCATCCAGGCCTCTTACCGGGGCCATAGGTGAGGGGGAGCCCGGAGTCCTCAGGAGGAGGGGAGCCGGAGCTGCAGAAATCGCCCTGCAGCGTGGGCGTGGGTGGGAGCGGAGCAGTGTTATGGACCGCTGGGGTCACTGGACTTAGGGGAGAGAGTTTGACGAGGTGTGGAAAGGTGGCCGACAAGATCAAATCATTTCATCAGGGTAACAGTTCAAGAACAGGGCCCCCCCTCCCTACCCACCCGCACATTTAAAGTTCTAGCGGGCCGAGGGGGCGGGGGCAGGGGATTCGGTGCTGGCGGTCCAGATTCGCGTCGTGGGAGCTCTGGGCCCTGACCCGGCGTTCGGATAGGTCCCGGAAGGAGCTTCGCGAGAAGGGGCCGCCACGAGTGCTGGAGCCGCTGAAGGACGTGGTGCTAATCGAGGGCAGCGCGGCCAAGCTGACTTGCCGCATTTCGGCTTTCCCGGACCCCTTCATCCGCTGGAGCAAAGACGGCAAGGAGCTGCGCGACGGGCCCAAGTATCGCTACGTCTTCGAGGACCCTGACGTGGTCGCCCTGGTGGTGCGCGACGGCGAGCTGGCAGACCTGGGCCAGTACAGCATCAACGTAACCAACCCCTTCGGCCAGTGCTCTGACTCGGCGCGCATCCTCGTGGAAGGTACGCGCGTTCCCCGTGCGGCGCCACCGCGAAGAGCAGCACCGCCTCCCGGCGCCGCAGCCGGGTCCCTCCAGCGAGCGCCCACCGCTGGGCCAGGCCGAGTCCCGATGGGGTTGAGGACACAGCCTGGGGCGCAGCGGTGCGCGGGCAGGCCAGCCCTTCCTGCCTCAAGATCCCGCCCTCACGCGCCCCCGCCCCAGACCGAGAAGTCCGCTTTGGGCTCTAATCACTCCACTCCAGTGCCCCAAGGTCACAGCGAGCCAGAGGCTGAGCCAGGGTTAGGGCCCAGGTCTTCTGGCTCCGCCCCAGGGCAGTGTTCACTGCTCGGAACTGTGTCCATCCATGGCACTGAGATGTGTAAACGCTCCCGGTCTTTCACTCAGCGTATTTCTTTTGATCCCCCATCCCACCGTGGGAAGGAGAAGGGCCGGCTGTTAGTCCGGTTTAACAGCGGAGGAAATGAAGCCCCAAAGAGGGTAGACTTGCTCAACGTCCCACTACGGGCTTAAATATATCTCATATTTAGGGCCGGGTATTATCTGGGGACGTGATGCCCCTGCTCCGCCTCACCCCTAGGGACCTTCCCCGGATCGCATGCCTTTCCCTTCTTCTAGTCCCTGCGAAGATTCAAAAGGGACCGGATAACACGAAGGCACGCAAAGGCACCACCGTGACGCTGACCGCGGAGATCATGGGCGAGCCTGCGCCTGACGTCGGCTGGACCAAGGACGGGGAGGACATCGAGGAGGATGACAGGCGAGGGCGGGGACCTGCCGTTGGGGAGGAAGAGGGCCCAGAACACCGGCGGGAGTGGGCCGGGGGCGGGGAACGCGAAGCGAGGACCAGAGCTGGCTAACCAGCCTGGCCCCGGGCGCCTGTAACCTGACCGCGGCCCGCCCTCCCCGCTCCCCCTCTCCCTGCCAGGGTGTTCTTCGAGATCGGCAGTACCACCACGACGCTGACCATTCGCCGGGCCACGCCCCAGGACAGCGGCAAGTATGAGGTGTACGTGGAGAACAGCCTGGGCATGGACCAGAGCTTTGCTCGCGTGGACGTGGCCTGAAAGGAACGCTCGGATCTTAACGCCCTGGCTCCAAGCCCTGGGGTGCGTGGGACCGACGACCCCCCCCTCCCCACCATCTTGCTTAATAAAACTGCTCTCTCTGACCCTTCGCGTGTTCTGGTTTTTGGGGACGCCGTTTCTTCTCCCCTGCACTCGCACCCACGCTTACTCCAGACCCACACACTAAGGTCACAGTATGTGGGGGTGGGAATGTTTGGAGAGTGCCTGGTTCAGTGCTTTACGTTACAGACTGTAAATCTGAGATAGGCTTTCTCTCACCCTATGGAGCTCCTTCATTTCCCCGCGGGACCGCGCCAGGAGCTCGTGACTCCGCCTCCTCTTTTTCCGTCTACTTCAGGCCCCACCCACTCGCCGCGGTCGGCTCCCTTGCCACGCCCATTTCACGGCTGGCCGCACCTCCTCTCGTCTCTAGGCCCGCGTCTTCCTGGGACCCTGTTCCTACCTTGGCGGCTACGCTGGGGCCCATTCCCAGACAGTTCAAAGTCCTAATCTCAGCTTCCCTCCACTGCCTCTTAGGCCCCACCCTTCTTCTCCTTAGCCCCGCCTCCTAGATCCCTTGGCCTTGCCCCTAGTTCTCCCATAAGTCCCACCTCCGTCCTCTCCTGTAGTTAGAAATAAGCGGGCGTTGGGCGGGGGGGGGGGGGGGGGGGGGGGGGGCGGGTAGAGGAGAGGGCTATGGGAAACGACGGGATCTTAAGAACTACTATTCCCGGCATACTCCGCGAAAGAGTTCTCGCGAGTCGCGAGAAGACACGTGCGCGGAAGGAGCAAGCAGTAGCGGGCGACAGAGCTGGAATAAAGGGAGCTAGTGGTAAAGGTTGCTGAGGGAGGGGTGGCGAAAGGGGTAGAGGGCAGGGGACGGCCCCTACACTGAGGGCTGCTCGGAGGTCCCGGCTGGCCCTTCGGAGGTCTGCTCCTGTGTTGGTCCCACAATTCCCTGGCTACGCGTGGCTAGGGTTTATTAGGCAGAGTCAATTGTGGCGTTCAGAGGGTCAGCAGTCATTGCTTCGATTCGAGTTTCAGACTTGCCTCCAGTATTGGGACCCAGCGGGAGGTAGATTCCGTGTTTGAGATGCCAAAGGAATCTGTCTTTTGATTCAGGGTTCATCACTTAAAGGTTAGTTTTAGGATTCAAATTCAGCATATAGGGGGTTTTTGCTTGGACTTGGGATTCACCAGATACGTTATTACTTAGGATTCCTTCTTAGGATTGCAGTTAAATGTGGGGCTCACTCAGGATTTGAGATTCAGTATTCAGGGTTCACTGTTGGGATCTGGGGCTTAACATCTGTAGCATAAGAATGGAACAGTTGGGAATCAGCGGGTATGGAGTCTAAGGTCTATTGCTGAGTATCTGAATATGCTGAATGTGTTTATGGCCAGAAGGAAGTCTGATGGATCAAATTATGGGGTGTGGATTTCAGGACTTAGCAGAAATCACTGTGGGATTTTAAGGCTGGTTGGAATCTGGGTTGGGGTTTCAGATGTATGGGATTTGTGAGATGTGTCCAAGGAGGGACTCTATTGAATTTCGGATTTACATCCTGTGAGAGGGCCAAGTGTTGCAATTTGCGGTTTGGGGTTTGCTTGGGATATGAGTGGGGTTCTTGGGCTGGGGTGTGAGATCTGAGCCAGATTTCTCTGTTGGGATTTGAAGTTTAGGTAGCAGTTGCCATCATGCTCAAAGCTGTGATCCTGATTGGAGGCCCGCAAAAGGGTGAGGAACCCAGGGAAAGGGGTAGGGAGGTTGGGCTGGACTGACTGGGGAATGGAGGCAGAGGGAAGCAGGAAGCTAAAATGTGCTTCTCTCTCCTCTCTCAGGGACCCGGTTTAGGCCTTTGTCTTTTGAGGTGCCCAAACCCCTGTTTCCAGTAGCGGGGGTCCCTATGATCCAGCATCACATTGAGGCCTGTGCCCAGGTAACCCCAGAGGTTCCCCCTCCCACATAGCTTCCTGTTCATCTCCTTCATGCTCTATTCCCCCTCCTGCCTCGTTGTGTTCGGACCAGGCATTACTCCGGGGACTACCATTTATACATGACAGTGTGAATGGTGTCCCTCGGAGCTGTGCAGTGCAGCTGCCCAGCTCTCTTCGCTAATCTGGTTTCTCATCTGGCCTCTTCATGTTCAGACTTCACTCCTATTTTTAAAGCATGGAACGCAAGATCAGGCAGGAATCTTCGAGACCATTTAAAGCTATAGCCCGAGGAACCTGAATGATAGCAAAGCATGGAACTCAAACCCTTGCTCACTGTGGAGCTAATTTCTTTATTGCTTTTGGCATCAGGACAGGCAAGGTTTTATCTGAATCCAGTCTCTGCCTGCTCTAAGGACTTGAGTAAATTCCTCACCCTTTCTGAGCCTTAGTTTTCTTACTGGTCGAATGGGGTGATTAAGCCTACTTTGGGGGGATGGCAAGATTTAAGAGATGATGTTGGTGAAGTGCCTAGTGCAATGTAGGCACTTGATAAATGGTACCCTTATCTCACACTGATCTCAAGCTCAGACTGACAGATAATAAATATGGGAGAAAATGAATGGATGATCTTTCTATGCAGCTTGGTAGGCAGGATCTTTCAAAGCTAGGGTGATCCTCAGATGCAGGGATGGGGTGGGCGAACAAGAGAATCATATAAGATTGAAAGATCAGGGACAGACTTCCTCTAGGTTCCTTTTTGTCTGGAGGAGAACACAGACCAGAGTGGTAAAGTGAGTGCGTAGGGGCCCCACAGCTGAGACCAAAGCTCTGGCCTCTGGACTCCCGGGCCAGGGGCTCCCCCAGTATTCTGTCCTATCAGATATGTTCTTTCTTCCTCCCAACCTCTTCCCTTCTTCTCAGGTCCCTGGGATGCAGGAGATTCTGCTCATTGGCTTCTACCAGCCTGACGAGGCCCTTACCCGATTTCTAGAGGCTGCCCAGCAGGAGTTTAACCTCCCCATCAGGTGTCTGTGCCGTATGGGGGGTATGGGGCGTGGGAGCAGTGCCCGAGGCCTCGGAGTTCTTGTGAGTGGGTTGAGTCAGCATGTGGCAGACTTTCCCCTTATATATTAGGAGGGTCTTATTTGGGAATCTCTGAATCCTTGAGGATATTGGCCTCAGACAGGTGTATTTCTGGGAGCAGGAGGAGTCAGGTGCCCAGGCTCATGCTATCTGCCTCTTCTCATCTCACTGAGCCGGCTTTGGGGTCCCTGGGGACAGGTACCTGCAGGAATTTGTGCCCCTGGGCACAGGAGGTGGTCTCTACCATTTCCGGGACCAGATCCTGGCGGGGGGCCCGGAGGCCTTCTTTGTGCTCAACGCTGATGTCTGCTCCGACTTCCCCTTGACTGCTATGTTGGATTCCCATAGACACCAGCCTCACCCTTTCTTGCTCCTTGGCACCACGGTGAGGGGGCCGGGAGGGCTGGAGGGGGTAAAGGGGGGTGATCCAGAGAAGTTCCTGGAATGCAGAGTGTCGAAGAGGCAGGGGCAGCTCAGAGCTAGAGGGGGAACGGCATCAACGGGAATGTGCCAGAAATCCCAGCAAGTAGCAGAGGAGGTGGTGGCGGTAGAGACCCTGAGCCCTTTGGCTGCTCAGAAGGAAGGAGGGGGAGGGCCGCTGTCAGTTCAACCCCTGCTGAAGGCCTGTCAGTGGCGGAAGTACGTGCCAGGTGCTACAGGGGAAGGAAAGAAAAAAAGAAAAAACAGACCTCACCGCCCTGGAGCAGGCGGGTCATTGTTTTGGTGTGTCTGTCTTACAGGCTAACAGGACACAGTCCCTCAACTATGGCTGTATTGTAGAGAATCCACAGACACATGAGGTGAGAGCAGAGACAGGGCTGGCTGGGTTCTTACTCTGTATCATCGTGCCCCCTCCCCTCTGCCTCTAGAGAATGCTAGAATGCTATTGGGTGGGCTCCAGTGCTGTCAGCCAGGTGGGCCATACCCTTGGCTGTTCATCTTCCATTCTAGGGAGACTGACAAAGAGCAGAGGCTTAAGAGTTAATTTCCATGGGTGCAGCACCCCGATGGCTGTATGCACGGTGTTCTGTGGGAACATGAAAAGAGGCCCACCCCAGCCTTGCCTGGGGGGGGCGCAGGGAGAGCTCCCTGGAGGAGGCAGGGTCTGAGTTGGGTTAAATTCATGGAGATGAAGGAGACAGGAAGGCGTTGCTGGTGGAGGGAATAGGCTATGCAAGGGCACAGAGGCAGGAAACAGTATGGGGCCTCTGGCATTCCAGAGGTGGGAGTGGGATGGCCAGGTGGAGGGTCTCAGTCCTTGTTTGTGAAACTCCCTGCCCTAAGCTCCACTTTCACACAGCCCTCTTATTTGTTCAAGCATTAGTATCAAAAATACACTTAAAACAGGCACACACAGGGGTGCTGGTGGGCTCAGTCGGTTAAGCGGCTTCCTGTAGCTCAGGTCATGATCCCAGGGTTCTGAGATCGAATCCCACACCAGGCTCCTTGCTCAGCAGGGAGTCTGCTTCTCCCTCTGCCTGCCGCTCCCTCTGCTTGTGCCATCTCTCTCTCTCTCTCTGACAAATAAATAAATAAAATTTTAAAAGAAAAAACAGGCACACACACATAGATATGTGCAATTTTTTTTTTAAGTTTTCTACTAGGCACCAGCTAGATATGAAAGAAACAGAGCCAAAGAAATAGAATCCCTGCCATTCAGGAACACCCCCCCAACACACACACACAGTGGGAAGGACAGTCAGAAATCAACCATGGCAAATGACACAAGGGCCACAGTGACGTGTGGCCAGAAGCCAGGGGTGCCCAGACCTGAGAAGGTCTGCGTAGTGCGGGACAAATACAGGTTCATGGAGGAAGTGGCAAGGTCGACCGGGTTTTGAAAGCTCAAGTTTTCCAGATGAATCGCTGAGAAAGGGCATTCAAGGGCTGTGAATTGTGCGCTTGGGGTGCTGGGAGGTGGGGACAATAAGGAGGGAAAAGGCATGCCTTTGGGATTTGTCGTGAAGGTGAAGGGCAGGAACTCTGCTTTTTAGGAAGACCGTCCTAGCAGCAGGGAGTATAGGCGGTGGTCAGTAGGTCTTAGGGGATGGTGGCAGGAGTGGAGGGTGAAGGGGGTGTGGGGAGGGGGCTTCTCTGCTGGACCCAGCCTGCTCTGTCCTCAGGTCCTGCACTATGTGGAGAAACCCAGCACCTTTGTTAGTGACATCATCAACTGTGGCATCTACCTCTTCTCCCCGGAAGCCCTGAAGCCCCTTCGGGATGTCTTCCAGCGAAACCAGCAGGATGGGCAACTGTGAGGCGGGCCCCATGGCCCTGTAACCCCAAGTCCCCCCAGTCACAGAGCACACCCCCACCCCCAGGCTCTGCAGGCTCTTCACCTGCTCACCTTCCTCCTCCCTTTTCTTTCCACTTGTCATCCCCAGCCAAGCCTTCCCAGTCCCCTCCCCTTCTAACCTCATTCTGTCCCTCTTCCTTATCCATCCCGGTTCCTCCTCTGTCACTGCCTGCCCACTCCCCTTCTGGTCCATTTCTCTCAAGCCCTGAGTGTCCCGGAGATGTCTTTTGGAACAGACAGCAACACGCACACTTGGACGCACACACGCTTGGGTGCAGAGACATACAGAGAGAGAGAGAGAGAGAGACACACACACACACACACACACACACACACACACACACACACTGTCAGGCTGAGGCTCCCCTCAGAGCATACCACATAGAGCCCTGCTGGCCACAATACCCTCCCCAGGTTATCCCTGTAAGGCCCCGGATCTGATAGCGGCCCCCGCCCCGTCCCTGTCCCCGTGGGTCCTGGCCTTCACTCCCTCCTCCCCACCTGGCTCCCTGTCTCATGCTCCACTCACTCCCATCCATCTCTGCTTCTCTCTCCATCTCTTCTGGCCTCTGTCTGTTTCTGCTAAGTTGGCATCTCTACCATCTCTCTCTCTCCCTCTCTTTCTGTGACTGTCTCTGCCCTCACCAGCTGTCTTCCTCTGGGGTGAGTGTCTGTGTTTCATTCCATCCCGTGAGAGGGAGGGTGGCCTGAGGTGGGGTTTGGAGGAGTGGATGGGGAGGAGAGGGAAATGGGGGGAAGCTACACCCGGGTGAACTCCCTGGGCCTGGGGCACAGATGGGGGATCAGTCCATGCCTGGGGGTCCCCTGGGATCACACCCCAGGTGGGGGTGGGAGGGTGATGTGGGCAAGGGTACTGGCAGCACTTCCTGGGACATGAGCATCCCTTTGGAGAAGATCTAGCCAGGCCTGGAGAGTGGGATTCCCTGGGATCTCTATCCCTGAGACACTGTGTTGGCCTCCTGGGTGGGCTCAGCTGGGGAGCTGATGTCTGCGTCTCCTCTCTGCCAGGGAGGACTCCTCAGGCCTGTGGCCAGGGGCAGGCACCATCCGCCTAGAGCAGGACGTGTTCTCCGCCCTGGCTGGGCAGGGCCAGATCTATGTGCACCTCACTGATGGTATCTGGAGCCAGATCAAGTCCGCAGGGTATGCCTCATGAGGTGGCTGGGGCACCTGGGAGCTGAGATTTGTGGGGGGGTAGGCACCTGCTCGCCCCTGAATCCCCCGTCCCCCTTTGTGGCTCCCCCAGCTCAGCCCTCTATGCCTCCCGCCTCTACCTGGGTCAGTACCAGCTCACTCACCCAGAACGCCTGGCCAAGCACACTCCCGGGGGTCCACGAATCCGAGGTATGTCCCCCTGCCCCCTTCCTCATCTTTGCCTCCAACCCCAGCCCCCTGTGCCCTCTGAGCCAGGACTCCTGACCTCAGATTCAGAGGTGAAGCCCCAGTCCCTGCCCCGCCCCCCACAACCAGGTATGGGGTGGGGTAGCTGCCCCCAGGTCTTCTCTTCTGCTTCCAGGAAATGTTTACATCCACCCCACAGCTAAGGTGGCCCCATCAGCCGTGGTAAGTGGGGGGCCAGGCTGGCAGGATGGGTGGGATGACACAGAGAACTTCTGAGCTCAGAAGGTGGGGCTCTGCTTTGTGGCCACCCATTGTGCAGGCTCAAGCAGGTCCCTTCCCCCTTACCTGTTCTAGAAGGGGCTGGATTCTGGTTTTTCCAAGGCCCCCAGGGCTTATGGTATCTGTTCCTCTCCACAGCTGGGCCCCAATGTCTCCATTGGGGAGGGGGTAACCGTGGGCGAGGGTGTGCGGCTCCGCGAGAGCATTGTCCTCCATGGGGCCACACTGCAGGTAGGCACCCTGTGGCTGGCTGGGAAGGGGTGGCCCCCGTGGGCTCGGCATCTGGGCCCTTCTCCTCCCTCACCACACACTGTCGTGTTTGGCAGGAGCACACGTGTGTCCTGCACACCATTGTGGGCTGGGGGAGCACTGTGGGGCGCTGGGCCCGTGTGGAGGGTACTCCCAATGACCCCAATCCCAATGACCCCCGAGCACACATGGACAGTGAGAGCCTCTTCAAGGACGGGAAGCTGCTGCCTGCTATCACCATCCTAGGTATGGCTTCCTCGGGGACTAGGGCTGGGGAAAACCTCCACGGGTGATGGCCTTGCCCTGTAGGGATGGGACACACACACGTGTGTGTGTGTACGCGCGCGTGTGTGCACGCGTACGTCTGCTTGTGTTTATTCCTTTAGCAAACATTGACAGAGTGCTTGCTGTGTGCCAGGCCCTGTTGTGAGTCGCTGGGAGTGTGAGGCCAGGGCGGGACGCCTCCCGGATGGCCGTGGCCCCAGCTCCTTGCCTCTGGCCTCCCCTCCCCACGGCTGCTTGTGGGGCCTTCCTCCTCTGGGTGCCCTCGTCCTGGTTGCAGGCTGCCGCGTCCGGATCCCTGCTGAGGTGCTCATCCTGAACTCGATTGTTCTACCACACAAGGAGCTGAGCCGCAGCTTCACCAACCAGATCATCCTCTGAGGGGGACTCCCAGAAGGCACCCCCCCCCAACTCCCAACTCCTACCTGCTCCCCTTGAGGCTCCTTCCTGCAGGGCCGGCCTCTGTCCAAAAGGACCAGAGGAAGGCAGGCAGGATCTTCACGTGCCAGGCGCAACGTGGGTGGCTGGGGGACTCCTGGCCTCCCTCTTCAGTCCCTAATAAACCTGGGTGGACCTTGGAGCCAGCACGGACTCCCGCTTGTGCCTGGGCTGGGGGTGAGGGCGGGGGGTGGGGCGTAGCTGAGTCAGGCCCCCCCCACATTAGCATTTAAATTGGAGTCGTTGCTGCGGGCTCATGAATAATGAATCTGGAGCCCTGGTAAATCTCCCCCTCCCACTGCCTTTAGCCTCTTGTGCCCGCTCTGCTTGGGAGGAAAGCCCCCAAGGCTCCCAGCCTGTCTGGCCCCTGCCTTCACCCCTGCTTCAGCACTGAGGGCTCGCCCGCCTTCCTGTTCCTCTTCACTGGGCCTGGCTCGAGCTCCGAGTGTGCGGATTCCAAAAGGAAGGATGCAGGATTCTGGCTGGGCTGTGGGACGCTGGCGGTGGGCTCAGGGACTGAGAGCCACGGGCCTGATACTGGGTCACCAGTGGCTGCTTTTCTCAGTTCCTGCCCAGCCCGGCCCCAGCCTGTTTTCCGCTTTGCCAGCTCCATCTGCTCCTGGCCTGGCTTTTGGCAGAGTGGGGGTTCTCCTCACCCGAGGCCTGCGTGGGGTCTGTCTCTTACTCCCCTGGCAGGTCGGGCAGACCTAAACTAGTGCCTCGTCCTCCCCAAGTCCGGGAGTGGGGGTGGGGGGGGTGCTCATGCTGGGAGGGGAGGGGCCCTGGCCACCTACCACCACCCTGACTCCGCCCTTTGGGAGGTCTCAGTCCTCTCCACATTCCCCAAACCCCAGAGCAACCCAGCCATCTCTCATGTTTGTCCATGACCCCCATGTACCCCCTCTTGGTACCCCCCTTTCCCCAGCTGTGGGTGCAGAGCTTAGTTGCCAGATGAGCTGGTAATGATCGTAATCTGCTAATTGAGAGGAATCTAATTACCCAAAGAGAATGGGGGGGCAGGGCGTGGGTGGGAGGGAGGAGGGGGTCCTGGCAGCAGGCAGGGGTGGCAGGCGGCGGCGCCGGGACCTCGTTATCAGCACCGGAGTCTGGGACAGAGCCCAGGATTTCATAGCTTCTTAGCTGGGCCATGGGGAAGACCTGCTCCCCCAGTAGCCAGGCTGAGGATAGTATGGGGATTGGGTTGGATGTGCCCTCCCGGGCCCCCTCCGGCCCAGCAGGCTGCATGAGAGCAGGCGTGAAAGGAGCCGGGCTTCAGCAGCCCAGACCTACAACCTGCCTGTGCTTAAACTCTTCCCCATCTCCCGGCCCTTCCTCCAGCCCAGATCTTCCATTTGCATGGGGTGGGGAGGGGGCCGCGGATGCCTCCTATGGGCCTGGGGTCAGCTCCCTGAGGGAGAAGCCGGGAGACGGCTGGGCTATGGATCTGGGACCGGGGTCTCTTCCCTGCCCCCACCCCAGTCCTGACCCTTCTGTTCCAAGTGGTTGGCAGAGGCCATGGCAGCTCCATCATAAATATGATAATTTAATTATTTTCTCAGCAAAACACCGTGAAATCCAATAAGTCTGTGTCAGGCCCTGGCCCCCGGGACCCCCCTCCTAGACCCAGTGGGGGTGGGGAGAGGCACTGGAAGGGGAAAGGGTCAGTGTTTGGGATGGGGGGATAGCTACTGTAGCTGGGATCTTTGAAACCTGACCCCTTCCACCAGGCTGGCAGAGTCCCTATCGAGTGCTCCAGGGGAGGTCTTAGGAATTGTAACGCCCTCCACTCCTCTCCGGCTCTTGTCTGCCCTGGGAAAGACAGCGCCCCATCCATCTCTGAGGGCACAGCTCAGGGCCCACGATGTGGGAGCCCCCTTCTCCTCCACGTCTAGGTCTTCATTGGCCCTGTATGGGTAGGAGGGTGCTGGTCCCCAAAGGGTTTGAGGAGAACCAAGGGAACTGGGGTGGGAGGTGGGGGGATGAGCAGGGGAAGGGATGCGGGGGAGGGGTGCGCTCCTGCCATTAGTGCTTTTTTAGGTTTCCATAAAAAGATTATTCTGTAAAATCAGTGAGGGGGAGCAGACTTGTGGGGGGGGGGCCCTGGCGCCCAGCGGGATGGGGCGATGGGGGGCGCGTGCCGGCTCTGGCTCGAGCTTGGAGAGAAATCTGGATGGGCTTCAGGAGCCAGGGAGGGGAAGAGGCCGAGCCAAGAACACAGATGGGGGGGAGGTTGGCCGGGGTGGGGTGGAGTGGGGGCAGGGCCCTCCTCTCCCTCCTGTTCCCTTTGGCGAGGCTGACCTGGGCCCCAGTCCCACCCCAGTCTCCATCCCCTCCCCCCTGGCGCTTAGCAGCCATTATCGGGGGAGCAGATTGCCACCCCCTCCCCCTCTCCGGGAAGCAGGCACAGCTGGGGCCCCGCCACATCTGCCGCATCAGCACGGAGCACAGCTGGGTGTGCCCAGAGCCGCGCTCCCCAAAACACAAAGGGGAGGGTGGGGGCCAAGGAGAGCCTAGACCCCGGAGACAGACACACTGACACCTCTGCCAACAGACACACTCCTCAGGGTGAAGGTACACCCACCACCACCACACACGCGCTCCCTCCTGTGCAGACAGGAGAACTGACAAACACGCAATTACTCTGCCCCTCCCGCCACCCCCGCTCCCCCCCTCCCGCCCCTTCTTCCTCCTCCCCTTCCTTCCCTCCAGGCTCCCCTCCGCTGCCTGGGCCACCTCGGTTCTTCTGGAGGGAGCAGGGGCCTCCCCTTTCCCGAGCACCCCATTCTGAGAGGCCTGGAGAACAGGAGGGCAGGAGGTAGTGAGGGGCTGCAGGTCTGAGCCGGGAGCCTGGGCAGAGCTGCTGTCCTCCCTCTATTCCCATACTCCTCGCCACAAAGAAATCCCCTGTGGAGCCCTGGTTCGTGCCTCTTTGGGTGTGATGGGGTCTCTATCCCAGGGCCAGCTGGCTGAGCACCCTTGACTGGTGCTCCCCATGACGGTGTTCCATCAGCCACCTCAAGGAGGCTCTGTGTGCCCTCTGTTCTTTAGCCTGGAGCTCAGAGGCTCCCGGGGCTATTCCCTGCCACCCCCCAATCTGGCATGCACTCCACTGATTAGCTCTGCTACCCTTGGCGTGTCCAGGGCATGGGGGCTCGCCAGTAGTGGTCAAGTCCCTATCCCCAGAGAGATGAGCAGGGACCTCTTCTTTCCTGTCTTTGCCAGGAGATAGCCACCTTCTGGCCCTCTGATTTAATCTGGCCCCTTTCACAGCCCTCGCTTCTCCCGCTCATCTTCTTGGTCCTGATGTCCTGCCCTCAGCCCTCTCCTTCCTGCCCCGCACCCCCGTCCCCCGTCCAGCGCCGTGCCCCCGCCCCTGCCCCTCAGAGCTTTAATCCCTCCTGCTGCTGTGCCGCCTTATCTGCTCCCAGCAGCTTTCACTGCTGCAAAGCCCTCTCCCCCTCCTTCTCTGGATCTTTTCCCCCTCCTTTCCTGGCTCCCTCTTCTCTCTGACCAGCACCCCCACTCCCAGCCTCTCTCTGCCTCTCAGGCTCCCAGGATGGCTTCTAGCTGACACCAAATTTGTACTCCAGTACCCTTTGCCCTGTCTCCAGGCTCCAATCTGAGGTTGCCCACCCACGCCCACTCAGGTCCCTTCCTCCTCCCAACCTGCCCCCCCAAAACCCTGCAGGCCCCAGAGACTTGGGAAGCTTCTGCCTCGCCAAGAATTTTTCTTCTTTCTTCCCTGCTCTCCCTTTTCTGGTCCCCTCCTCAGTTCCTCCAGCCACTGGCCCCTCGATCTTGGGCCTGGTGCCCTTCAGCCCCCAGTGATCCATGGCCTCAGGTTGAGCATCCCCAGAAGAGGATGGGATCAGGCCAGGCTGGCCCTACGTAGGACGGGGTAGGGGGTGCAGAATGCTGGCCAGCAGTGGGGGCAGGGTCTGGCGGTGGGACGCTAACCCTCTTCAGTCGCCTCCGATCACGTCCTGGCCTCCCCACCCCCTTCGCTGGAACTCTCATTAACCGCTTCTCCTGCCTCGTCCGCAGCATAAATAACCCAGATAAATCAGCCGCCGTCCGCCCCCCGCCCCTCGGCCCCCGCACAGCCCGTTTGTCACCGCTGCTCGCTCACCAGCCAGGCCTGGCCCAGTCCCATCCTCCGCCCCCCCCATCCTTGTCCCTTCCCGCCCACATCTGTCCCACACTAGCTCATCCCTTGGTCCGCACCAGAGCCAGGATTGGGACAGGTGTCTGGGCTGGGAAGGGTGGCCAGGAGGTGCCGTCCATCCTCTGGGAGCGGAGGAAGCTGGGGACTCTCTCTAGGAGAATGCTAAAAGTTTGGGAATTGTGTCATTTATGAGTGGGCCACCCAGGAAAGGGGGCTGGGGCCCACCCAAGGTGAGAAGGGACAAATACAGACAGTGGGCGGAAGGGGGGGGGATCTGCAGAGGTGGGGGGAGGGCAAGTCCCGAAAGCCCGGTGTGGTAAGGACCTTGGAGGCTCCCTTTGGAACCCCCAAGCTGGATCACGGGAGGTCTTTAGTTCTTCCTTTGAGGCCTCTTGCCCAAATAAAACCTGTACCTTCTCAGGTGCTCTGGCAGAACCTTCCTGCCCTGTCACTTCCCTCACTCTTCTGCCCCCTATTCCCATGCTCTCTGCCTTGTCCGGCTGTACAGATGCCACTCTAATCTCTCTGCCTAATGGTCCCTCCACGGCCGTCAGGAAGCCTCGGCCATCAGGAAGCCTCATTCACCCTCTAGGGGGTGGGAGTGGGTGGAGAATTGGACCAGGAATGGGGACAACTGAAGAGCAGAGGAAGCCTGCCCCTGCAGCCCCCTCACCCCTGTGTCTCTCCTGTGCCCCACACCCACTCCCAGCCGAGTCCCAGATGGACCCTCCCCCTCTGCTCTCACCCAGCACAGGTCCTGGCCAACCACACTTGGGCCCCCCCCCCATGCTCACTGCAGGGGTGCAGCTGGTCCCAGGGGGGTAGGTGGGGGAAGCCAGGAGGGGATGGGGGAGTTTGGGCACAGGGCGGGGGATGGGGGTGGGGAAGAAGCTGGGCCGGGCCCCAGGGACCAGCTGGGCAATGAGCCGGGGAAGCAGCCGGGAGGCTAAATGAGGGAGATTATCACCCAACTGCAGCCGGGCAGAGAGGGAGGCAAGCAGGGAAGTGGGGAGGGGGGGGGAGGACGGGGGGCCAGAGGGGAAGGGGGTATGGGGAAAGGGGGGGCAGAGGAGACAGAAGAGACCAGAAGGGGAGGCATAGGATGAGCGGAGGGGATGTGGGAGGGGGCTCCCACCAAGCGTAAACAGATTCCTAGGGGTCTGGAAGACTGGGTGATGGGGACCTGGGGACAATTGAAGACAGATGGCTGTGGGGTAGGGCTGTGAGGGGTGAGTGCAGTGAACTGCTCGATGCTCCATTTCCGCATGGCCTGGAACTCCCCCTCTCCACCCACTCCCCAATTTCATTCCTTCAGAGGCTTCCTGCCTTGCCCTCTGGAGGAAAGAGGGTGTGATGTGGGCTGATGATGGAGGCCAGTATGTTAGGGGAGTATGACCCTGTGATCCTAATAGATCACAGAGTAATTTAGGAACATGCATTGAGTCCAGGATAGTGAGGACTGGGGAGAGCTTGGGGGGCAGCTCCCCGCTTTCTTGGCAGAGCCCCAGACTGAAGTAACCTTAAAAAAGCAATTAAATCACCTTTAAAAAAAAAAACCCAGTAAAGAAAAATCAATACTAGGAGAAAGGGGGAGAGGCTGGGGGAGGAGGAGGTGGGGTGGAAGCACTAGAAGGGTCTGGGAGGCTAGTGGAGAGGGCAGAGCATGGCAGGGGGCTTCCTGGGCAGGGGGCACTGTCTGTGGTCACTCAGAGGTTCTGACTGCTAACTCAGCAGCTGCTTCCTGTGCCTTCCCCACTTTCCCCTCTGGGATGCTGCCAGAAGTAGCCCTGACCCCAGGGGTCTCCTCTTCCTGGCTGGGGGAGCTGACTTGGGGGAAGCCTAGCTGTAGCACCCCCCACCCCCGCAAGCTACTTTGAGGAGAGGCTGGGGACCACCCCAGCAGGGTGCCAAGCATGGCTGGGGCTCGGGGTTGGTGGGCTCCATGCTGGGGTGACCAGTGACTGATGAGGCCTGACCTGGCCTCGTAGCCAGAGTGGGCACTGAGTCCCTGCTCCCCAGGGTAGCCACCCCTCCTCGGGGTCCAGGCGGGGGCTGCGACTGGCAGGGCTGGCAGGGCAGGCCTGACGCAGGGGAGGGGTGGCCTCTGGGCAACGGGTAGACCTGGGGCTCTAATCCCCAGCAGCTGCCGTTTCCCTCAGATCGATTCCCTTCTCACTTTTTTTTCAGCTGCTGGTTCCGCGGCTCGGATCGATGGAGCCGCCTCCCCCGCCCCTCTGAGCTTCCTCTCCCTGCTGCTCATTAGCGCCCCAATTAATCAGCGCTCCCCTTTCGTCTAGGGACGACTTCCTCCCCCCCGCCCCCGTGAGGGCGCACGTTCTCACATGGGCCCCCCAGAACACCAGCGGCTCACTGTGACCACCCCACCCCAGGAGCACCAAGGCATTTCCTCCTGGGCTGCCAACAGGGGCCCCACCCCTGCCTGTGATAACAACGCACATGCCTGCTTCCCCTCCGCAAACCCACAGCCACGCCAGGGCTCCCTCCACCCTACCGTGCCTGTCACCCTCCGCTTCTGCTTCTGGGATAGGACTCCCTCCTGGTCAAGCCCACACGTTTCTCCTCCCTCCCAAATCCCCATCTGGGCTCTTCCTCTCTCTCCATTCCACACCCTCTCCTGCACCCATCAGAACTCTTCTCTGCTCCCTGGCCTGTTCACACCCTCTCCCCCCACCCCCAGCCCGGCCTGGCAAGAGATTTGGGATGTTTGGATTAGCCCAGTGGCCACAGATATGCGAGTCAGCCAGGGCGTTCCTCTGCCCCAGACCCACGAGTGACTGAGTTTGGGGGGATGGTAGGGGGCGGCCAGAGCCCTGGGGCAGGCAGGGTTATGGTGGGTGTTGAAGTTGGGAGCAAGGCTCCAAGGAAGCCAAGAATCTTGGTGGAGTCACTGTTACCCCCTTTTCTGTCTTGCCTGCCTCCTCTGCCCTCTCCTCCCTCATTCAAACAAGTGGCTCTCCCAAGGAGTTTCTGGAAGCTGCTCTGAGTGGGGTAGTGGGGGCAGGTGGTGGTTGGGCGCTGGAGTCAGGAGTCAGCGAAGTGGGGGATGGAGTTGGCTGACCCTTCCCGGGGGCGTGGTCCCGAAAAGTGGCAGAATGAGCGAGGACTCTGAGTGCAGATGTCTCCCCTGAGTGGCCTGGCAGTGGGGCCGTCTGGAGACCCCACGAGTGCCTAGGCTGTAGCGAGTTTGGGGGACAGCCCAATGAGATCTAGGGCAGGGGCTGGCGATCCTTGTCCTGGGCCAGTGGTGGGGGCTGCCCCCCGCCCCTGGCCTGGCTCCTGCAGCCAGTGGTGCCGGTGAAACGCTGTTGACATGTCCTGAATTATTAAGCATGGGGTGGGCTCCGGAGCACATGCTGAGCGGAGCGGCTGGAGCTGCGCGGTGTGGCGGAGCAGCGCTCACTCCCTCGCTCGCTCACTCGCTCGCAGGGACACACGCAGGGGCTGACAGCTGTGCTGGTGCTGATAAGGGAAGCCACAAGGAGACGATCGAGGAGAGAGACAAGCCGCGGCAGAGGCAGCAGCAGCACAGGCAGCACCAGGGCTGCGGAGCTGCTGGGAGTGGGAGTGACTCCCCCACCTCAGGCCCCCACCCTGTCCCCGTCCTCCTCCCGCTTGCCCTGAGTTTAGAAGAGCAGCCGCTGCCACCACCGCCACTCCGGAGGGCACCGTGGGCTCCCAACCAGGGAGGGACAGGGGCAGGGAGGCTCCGGCCAGTCCCAGCAGCCGGGGACAGATGCCGATCGAGATTGTGTGCAAAATCAAATTTGCAGAGGAGGATGCGAAACCCAAGGAGAAGGAGGCAGGGGATGAGCAAAGCCTCCTGGGGGCGGCACAGGGGACAGCAGCCCCCCGAGACCTGGCCACCTTTGCCAGCACCAGCACTCTGCATGGGCTGGGCCGGGCCTGTGGCCCAGGCCCCCACGGACTGCGCAGAAGCCTGTGGGCACTGGCCCTACTCACCTCACTGGCCGCTTTCCTGTACCAGGCTGCCGGCCTGGCACGGGGCTACCTGACCCGGCCTCACCTGGTGGCCATGGATCCTGCTGCGCCAGCCCCAACAGCGGGCTTCCCGGCCGTCACCCTCTGTAACATCAACCGCTTCCGACACTCGGCCCTCAGCGACGCTGACATCTTCCACCTGGCCAACCTGACGGGTCTGCCCCCCAAGGACCGGGATGGGCACCGTGCCGCCGGCCTGCGCTATCCGGAGCCCGACATGGTAGACATCCTCAACCGCACCGGCCACCAGCTCGCAGACATGCTCAAGAGCTGTAACTTCAGTGGGCATCACTGTTCCGCCAGCAACTTCTCCGTGGTAAGTCCTGCTGGCGGGCCGCCTGGACTGGGGTGGCCAGAGGCTAGCAGGGAGCGGGGGAGGGGGGCAGGGAGGGCCCTGGGGTATCCTCACTGGGGCTTCCCTTCCTTCCACCACCAGCGGCTGGCCTCGTGTCTTCCCCAAGCCCGGTGTTTCCCTCTGGCTTCCCGGGCCATGAAGCAGGGGACGCTCCTATGGGCTTACCCAGGTGCTGCTGCCGCTCCTCTCCTCCACTCTGCTGCTGCTGCAGTGCCCAGGTCTGGGGGCCGGGTGGGGGGCGGGGTGGTGCCTGGAGTGGGCCCAGGAGCCCGGAAGCCAGGCAGCTTGCGGGCGAGGGATGCCCTGTGCTGAGGCTGGAGCAACTGATCCCCACTTGTCTGTTGTTCCCTTTTGCTTCTGTGGCTACTGGATTCTTCTCCCCACTGGACAAGGGTGATGGGTAGAGGGTGTCTGGGGGGCTCCATCAAGAGAGGGACTCAGGACTCCCTCCTGGGGAGCTGGCCCGACCGGCAGGCTGGAAGCAAAGATCTTGATCTTCCCGTACACTGGGTACCAGTGTCTCTTCTCGGTGTCTGTGTCTCTCATACACACCCCCTTTCACAGACTCTCTCACACATCCCTCTTTCATGCTGCCCCTCCAGCTTCTCCCGCTTTCCCTCCCTCCGTTTCCTGGGTCTTGCTGTTCCCTTGCCCAGCTCTGGCTCTTACACTGAGAATCACTCATTCACTCTTGTGTGCCTGGTTCACCCTCGCTGCGACCCAGCACACGCGCACGCACGCGCGCGCGCACACACACACACAGCCCTGATGCTGGGGACAGTCTCCTGCGCTGCCTGTCTTGTACTCAGAGTCCCTGTCACGACACTCACGTGCACACCTGCACACCCACACACCGAGAGCTCATCTCTGTGCCCGTATCTCAGTGCTCACTTAGCTGAGGACGGGGCCACACAGTGGATGCCATCCCCTCTCCAGATGCTCCCCCCCCACCCCTCATCTATCTCAATCCCTGCTCCCCGTGTGGGGACTGCTGGTGCCATCTCACATGGGTGTGAACACAGACACACACTCTCACTGGCATTGAAGTGTCCGCTCGGGCTGCCCTCTCATAGTCAGCTGTGAGCATTGGGGGTGTGTCTCGCATGCTATCTGTGTGTCTGTCCACCAGTGCTCCATTCGCCCAGGATCACGGGGTATCCCTCATCCCTGGTGCTTGTGCTGCCCGTCCCCAGTCCCCAGTCAGCTCCCAGCATTGTGTACATATACGTGGCAGCAACACGGTACCCACTCCAGCCAGCCTCTAGTGGCCCGCCCCACAGATGGGAGCCGGGAGTGGGGGGCTCACCTTCCTCCTGCCCAGGTTCCCATTCACTCACCACCTCAGCATCAGCGGGAAACATGCCCCTAGTAGGCCTCCTAAGGCTCCTTGCACTGCCACCCATTCCTCAGCCTCTGGGTGATCCTGCCATGGGATGTAGGGGGAGTCTGGTAGAAATGGAAGAAGGGACAGGAAGGAGGGACACTGCTGGGTGGGGGGGGGGGCTGGGCTTTTGTGCGGATACACGCCCCTCTTCTAGGGAAAAAAAAATCACTACTCCTAAGCCCAGGACTGCAGGAGTCCCCAAGGAGGAGGTGAGGTGTTGAGAGTGTGCATGTGGCCTTTGAGGTCCCTGGGACCCTTCTGTCTGACATCGTCACCCCTCAGAGTTGGGGGGGGCAGGCAGAGCCCAGTCTCAGCAGGTGCTGTGGGGGCAGAAATCAATGGGAGCTTTGTGTCCCTAAGCAGGAGGTTGCATCTCAGGCCCCGGTTGGGGATAGAAAGGAAAGGGGAAGTGTGTCGAAACCTTAGTGGGAAGGAGGGGAGAAGAGAGGAGGGAGAGATGGGGAAGGGGGAAGTAAGGTGAGGGAAGCAGGGATTTCCTGCCCCACTCTAGGAAAGGGAGAGGTGCCTGGAGGTTATGGGAACAGGGAGTCTCTGGGAATCCAGAGGTGGGTGGATGAGAAGGATGGACATCCCGCAGGCCTTTTCATATGCTGGGCTGCAGAAAGGAGGGTGAGGAGGGTGGGAGAAGTTTGTGGGTCTCAGCTCTGGGGTTGTGGCATATCCTAGAGGAGCAGAGGGCCAAAGCAAGCACTGGGGGACAGGAATTCCCTTTTTGATCCTGCTTTCTGTGTCCCCCACCCAGTCTAGACCCCATACCCTTCTGCCCACACCCCATCCCCCATTTGCTGAATGTAACTCTCCCTTGGACCTGGCCTTC